TACAAAGGCACAAATGCATTAAAATTTATCTTATCATTTTGTTGTAATTGTCATCACTAAAATTATACAGTGTAGGATTTGGATTTGAGCTATTTCAAATGGATGATGAGGGAGTGCTTTCTCACCCTTGAGCCCGTTTTAGGCAAATCAAATTGGAATTGACATTGTATTCCCTCCAGGGAGGTAAGATATGATCAGAAACATGTGCCATCCCCACACTGACTGGTGCTTGGCAGAACATTCATTTTAAAAGTCCACCCACCAATCATTAGCCCTTTTATATTCACTGATCAGCTCTTGTACTTCAAGACCCAGTCTAGGTTTTTCACTCTGAGAAGTGATGCCAGAATACTGCAGTCCTTCATCTTGCTATGGTGCATGAGCTGTCTTTGTGCCAGAGAACTATATGGCTTTCAAGGGATTTCCTTGGAAATTGGGACTAGGTGGCCAATCAGGAGCTTGCTTGGCCAGCCAAAGAGGCAAGCTCACCTAGGCAGAACCAGACAGAGAATTTCCCTATTGGGTCCATTCAGTGAGCTTAGGGTTAGGGTTAGTTTTGTCATTCTACATCCCCATCAGTAGCTGTGTTGGTAGGATGACATTTTGTTGGTTAGTAGGCAGGTTGACTGATGCCTGGATCCTTCTCTCATACTAGGCCAGACCCCACCAACTTCTAATGCTGTAGCCTTTTGTTCTAGCTAGATTTGATAGACACAGGGATTCCCTTTTATACACAACCATTAAAGGTATCAGAACCCACTCCAGTTTTTGGTCTGGCAGCTCTAATTCCAACAATACTTGTCATGCATATTTTACTTGCACTCCATCCCAATCTCACCCCTAGCACCTCAATGACCAGTCACAATGGTAATGAGAAGGAATTTTTTTTAATTTTTGTGTGTGAATTCAACATGCTATAGAATGTAAAGTTTTCCACCTATTTTAGAATGTAAAGTTTTCCACCTATTCTAGTGAAGGAAGAAGAGAGAATGGAGTGGGTGCTACTGCTTACCCATGGTCTGGTCACAGGGCTAAGATGGAACAGTGTGGGAAAGGGAATCAACACTCAATGGTTGGGCAAAGTTGAATATCAGTACAGTTATCACATTTGAAAATGGGACTGGGGCCCATTGAAATTTCCACAAAACCACCACTCAAAACTATAGGACTTGTGGGAATGGTGAATTAAGAGAAAGTTTCCATGAACCTGAAGGTGACCAACCACACATAAGTGATACACTTTTGTCCAAGGTAAGGATTGCGCAGCTTGCCCCGTATTCATCATATTGAATATATTTGAATCTATCAAGGGGGGGAGGGGGTATTGGGTTTGAGTATTGTATATGTTTTTATGCTTGTAAGCCGCCCTGATTGGATTCCCAAAGGGTGGAATATAAATTATTATTATTATTATTATTATTATTATTATTATTATTATTTATCATGCTGAAATGATAACAAAGCAGCCCTTGCCTCTTTTCATTCTCATGCAGTTATTGGATCACTGGTGATCTTGAGACAATAATGTTGAATAGACACCTCCAAGACCTGTGGGGACACACCTATAATAATTCCCCCAGCACCTCTGAATCATTTTTTTTTTCTTCCAGCTGGGAGTCACATTATTTTACCACCATGACCTGATGCAAACTGGCTCCTTGGATTTGTTATTAGTTGTGAAAGGGGAAACATAATGGAAAAGAAGATATAGTCACATAAAAAGTAAAATCAACAAAAATAGTGGTGATAGATTCAAATATATTCAATATCATGGTCAGTCTCACCAACAGCACTTGATATATTTGGGGCAGCTACCAGTATCAACACACTTCAGGAGAGCACATTAATGATAATGCATGTCCTAATTACCTCCTCTACCTCCACTGGTTGCCACCAATCCAGCCTTTTCAGGGGCAAGGACCACTACTTAATCCTTACTGTTGGATTTATCTGATGGTAATGGCATATTTCTTATGGGAAACAGTTACTTGGTTTCAGTCTCTGCTGGGTAGGTGCTATTGTAAATGTCCTACAATGTAATGCTACAGAGAGCCCAAAGTAGTATTCTTGGATTGGACGCTCTGGACACTGCATCATGGGATAGTTACAACTTGATTCAGATATGAGCAGAGCTAAGAAATCACTCTGTTTCCATGAAAAACATACCAGTCAGTGGTTTTGTGAGAGGATGTCAGCAGTGGTGCTAGAGAATTTGTCAGTAGCATTGTGATAGGGGTCCATATAAACCTAGTGCTGGTCCTATTCACATCCTAGTTGCATAGATTCAGGGGCATCTATGACAGCATCCCACACAAGGGAACTTAGGCTGAAACACTCACACCTGTCCCACTTGCCTCTTGCTATACCCCATACATGTAGGGTACCCCATACTCACATCTGTCCCACTTGCCACTTGCCATACTCCATACTTGGTGTACCTGTTGTGAAGAACTGCTTGTTTAATTTTTTTTATTTTTTATTTTAAAATATTTTATTGGTGTATAAAAAGAAAATGAATACAAAGAAATGGGAAAAAAGGAAAAAATTGAGAGGGGGTATATAACATATGACTGTAGAATGCATATATAAAATAATACAAGTTGATCTTATTTCGAAAAATACATTATGGAGGGATGGAAGGTTTCCATGACTAAGCAGGGATTTGATCCCTGGTTTCCAGAGTTGTAGTCCAATGCTCAAACCACTAAATCATGCTGGGTCTCTAACTGATGTATACCTATAATGAAAATAAAATTTAAAAAATCTAGTAAGTGAGGGCTGAAGAAGGAGGAGTGTGTGAGAGAGAAGGGGGAGGGGGGAGAAGAAGAAGATTGTATTTCCATGTTTACAAAAAAATTAGTAAAGCTCACCATCTTATTATAAACCATTTCAATTATAAAGAAAACCATTTCTATTTAGCAGTTTAACACTGAGAAACACTTGTTGCTTCCCTCCATTAACCCCTGAGATACGTTGGATGTCTTCAGCTGAATTAGCTTTGTACCACATTGTCTCTATGCACTGAAACTAAGGAAGGCTGGCATGCTGTGTGTGAAGAGAGATACCCGGTAAATCTTATTCCTGGTTAATTGGACATTTGCTCAGTTGCAACTCAAGAATGTCGTCCTGTTGAATGGAGGGAAAATGCTCACCAGTGTGCCTATGTGGTAAATGAGTTATTAAAATACAAACATTTGAGGGAGAACAGAATTTGCCATTTGAAAAGGGAAAAATTCACAGAAGTGCTCTGCCAGGGACTGCCATTCTATTGATTTCAGTGAGTTTCAGTTTTATATTAGGAATGGTGAGCAAAGAGTGTGAAATAATGAGGGGACTGATCCACACAGACAGCTTTCTCCATCCTAAATCAACTTCCAAATAGACATTCAGAATAATTTTTGTGGATTCTGATATTAACTGATTTCATTGGTGCCCCACACTCCAGCACCAGACTAAAATTCAGTTCCAATTTTTAAATGCCTTTGATTGTTCTGCAGCAGTTCTCAGCTCAAAAAAATCTGGCAAAAATATTTTAGTTTGCTTGGTTTTCAGAGGAAATACATTTAGAAATATGAGACAGATAATATTTTAAAATATGCATTCAAATATGCCTTTCAATGTACATTTTCATGCAGATTGTTTTTTCAAAAGAAAAAGTAGCAGATTTATGTGTAAATGGTTCAGAAATTGAGTAGATAGGACTACTGGAGTTATATGGGTGGCAAACACTCTGCCCAAGTTTTCTACCCCCCCAGAAGCCCCCCTTTAATAAAAACAATCATTCTTGGAAGCTCCTAAGAACCATGATTCTACAGTGGGCTCTTGGTATCAACTGGGATTGGTTCCAGGGCCCTTGTGGTTACCAAAATCCATGGATGCTCAAGTTCCATTATATACAAGGGTGTACTAAAAAGGTGTTCCTTATATAAAATGGCAAAA